CTGAGGAGGCCTACCCCCCCCTCTCACTCCCTCCCTGGCCTCGCCGCCGAGTCAGAGCAGGTGGGGGGCGTCGGAGTTGCGACCACGGGCGGCCTGGGAGGGGCCTTGCAATACGCGCCAACCCCAACCGATCGGCGCACTCCCACCACAAGGGCCAAATCCAGAAGAGAGCCTGCGACTGCCCACGAGTGCGAGGTGGTGGGGGCCTCAGACGTCGTGCCGCGAGGTGCTGGGGGCCTTGAGCGGTCTGCAGGGGTCGAGGGCATCGGCCGGACTCCAGGCGAGGGCACGTAAGCACATCTGCATGATAACAGCGAGTGTGCACCATAGCCCACGCAGATGCGGATAAGAGTGAGGGGGGGGCTGTCGTCGGCGTTTTGCGAGGCCCGAGGGCAGGAGTAAGTTAAGTACCGAAACCCGCCGCAGACAGTCAGAACGTTGCTTGTGCTTCCTGGAGTGGGTCGCGGGTGGGACGCTGCGTCGCGGGCCTGGGCCGACAGCAGGAACTCGGCCCTTTCACTCTAACAAGACTTGGCGTTCCGAACCCGCCCCACCGTCGACAGCGCATTGCTATTCAGCAATGGCCCCCGAGGCGTGCAGCCTGACCAGCCGCTCTCGACTGGCCTCCACCAGGAAGCTTCGAGCCCCTTCCCTGGCGCGCGGAGCGGGCCAGGGGCGGCGCTGGTGGCGGCACCAGGGGGGCCCAGCGCCGGTTCAGGAGCAAGAAATCCGCGCGGAGCTCCGGAAGCTTACGTTTATATAATTATATGTTTTTCGATTGTAAGTGGCACTGCAGCGTGCGCCGAAACTTCAGGCACAACTTACGTCCTGCCGCGCTCGTGGGCGCACTCGTCGTCGCCGCCGCCGCCGTGGCCGTCGTTGTCCTCTTCGACGCCGTCCTTGTCCTCGTCGTCGTCGTCCTCGTCTTCGCTGTCGCCGCAGTCATCGCCGCCGCCGTCGCCGCCATCCTCCCCGCCCACGCCCACGCCGTCGTCGTCACCGCCGCTGCCGCCGTCACAACCGCGCTCGCCTCCGCCGCCGACGCCGCCGTCGCCGCCGCCGTCGCCGACGCCGTCGAGGACGTTCCCGCCGCCGTCTCTCGAACGCACAAGCGCTCTCAGGGTCTGGGCCGACCCACCCCCGGCGACTTCGAGGGCACCTCGGACCCGTGGGAGAGCCAGGAGCAGCCGAGGCGGTGTGGGCCCCGCAGTCTGCCGTTTCGAGCGTCGCGAAAAACGCACGACCGGAGCCACAGACTCAGGTCGGGCCTGTCCTCCCGCAGGCAGATGCTCGAAGAAACCCATGCAAAAGAAAGAGAGCACGAGAATTCGTCACCAGACTATTTGTTACGTGTCTTAGAATATTTCTCCTGCAGAGGGACATGCCCGACTTGATCATAGACCGCATCTGTCTACAGCATATTTCAAGCGAGACCGACCTGTGGTGCTGCAGGGGCCCGGAACAGTCGCCCGTGGTAAGAAAAAATGCGTCGCCAGGATCTCAGGGTCGTTGACGCCGCCGTCGCCGCCGCGGGCGCGCCGCCGCCGTCCCCAGACATCCGACGTCTTGATTTGTGCAGCACGGGTCCCCGAAAGTCCCAACGCATTCCCCGGGACCAGCTTTTCATCCCGGGCCGTTTATTGACGACCACAGGGCCCTGCGAGGGCCCCCCAAGGTCGAAAGCGGGGAAAACCCTTCCATCCTGATATTGCCGCCACCTCGGCGACCGCGTGGAGGCGAGCAGCGCGGAACTACAGTCAGCCAATCCCGCTGATGCGTCACTTCGTGCTGCCCCACGCACGCGTGCGGGCGCTTGGCCTGCGCAGGGTGCATTACCCACATGCCTGCTAGGCACACGGCGGCTTTCCTTCTCCATGCCTTTCCCAAGGCGCGAGCATGTCCCCAGACATCTGGCGCCTCGATTTGTCCGAGACACAGGGCCCCGACTTCTCGACCACCCAGGACCGGCCTGTCATCTGCGATAGGTGGTTTCTCCATGGCCCTGAGGCCTGAAGGGCCAGGGGAGGCCGAAAACTACGAAAACATCTGCCACGATTCTTTCGAGACGCTAGGTTTCCGTGCCTAGGTCCTCGCCGCCGCCGTCGTCCTCGGCGTAAGGCTAAGAGGGCGCATCTGCGGCCTTCGCGGCCGCGCCGGCGCCCTGCAGCAGCTGCGCGGCCAGGCCGCCGCCAGCGCCCTTGGCCTGCAGGCTCTGCAGGATGCTCGGAGGAGGGCTCGGGCGGGGCACCGCCAACCCCCCCCTGTAAGACGAGGCCTGAGGTCCGGGCACTGCAGACTTGTGACACTACGTGTTTTCGCCCAGGTCTGGGCCCCGCGACCGCCACGGATCGACCCGGCTTGCTGGGGTGTCGGGATCTGGTCCTGGTGCTTCGCGATGTTGCAAATCGTTCCGCGCCGCGGCAGTTGCAGAGCGCTCCGGGACGCTCGGAGAGCGTTCCGAGCCACACTGGAGCGAGTCACTCCTGTCCTGGGCCCGCCGGACTCCCTGGTGAGCGTTTTCTTCTTCGGAGTTTCGACATTGAGCGAAGAGCGGGGGGAGGGGGAGGGTCTGGCTCTGGACCTCTGCTTAGCGCGACTGTTTGTAACAGCGCGCCCTATGGGGGAGAGACTCCACCTGCTCGCAACAGGCGCCAAAAACAGCCAAGATCCACCCCATGGGGGGGGGCGAGGGGGGGGGCGAGGGCCCACGCCGATCGGCAAAACAATGGATCAGAAAACGATCACCTGGGGCTCCCCGTCCTGTTTGGGGCCTCCTGGCGGCTCGTCGCCACGCCCAGATCCATGCCAGACACAAAAGCCAGGACGGGCCCTGCCCTGCGAGGGGTCCGCGGGCGGGTCTCGAGCGCGCTTGTCGGCTACACGCAGATGTGACCCTGGGCCAGAGTGACCTTGCCTGAGCTCCTGGCGAGTCCATTTTTTCGAGCCGGGCGTTTTCGCTCAGCCTCGGGACCCTGGACCCTCACATATCGATCCGGCTCGAAAAATGACGCAGAAGAATGGGGCCTTGAGGTCTGGTCACGATTTGTTGCGATGTTAGATGTTTTCTTGCGACGTCGATTCTCAAGGGTTGGTGCGGGGCCCGAGAGGGGCCATTCGGGGACACCACCAGGCGCGCAAGCCGCTGCTATCGCATCGCATTCCGCGACCGACGGGGGCCCCACTGGGCCCGCACCACAGGGCACTCCAGCGAGAGGTCACCCTCACGTGCAGCTGAGCTTTGGCCGCGCGGGAAACGGCGACTCCGGAGGGTGTGGATTGCAGAGGGTGTGGGTTGCAACCGGCACCCTGGGGGGGGGCACCCTCTGGGGGGCGGGCGGGGACTTCGCTGGAGCTCTCCGCCGCGCTCCGAGGAGGCCCGACGAGGACAGCCCACGGCGCCGCTCGCAAACCACACCCCGGCGTGACAGCACCCTCTGGCAGTCGCCGAGGGGGGGCCGCCGGAGCAGCTCTCCGCCGGCCCTCCTCCGGGGATGCGGAGGTACTTGTCCTCGGGGGGCGGCCGGACCTCGGCGGGCCAGAGGGCGCCGGCGGGCGGCTGCGGCCCGCTCCGCGCCCCGAGCGGGGGGAAGAGGGCCCATTCGTTGTGTCAACTTCGGGGTATACACCCTGCGAAATGCTCTAGACATCATGGGTTAAGAAATTCATAGTCTCAGAATTTGAATAAAAATCCAGAATGTCTATTCAAATCTTAGGATCTACATTGAAACATTAAGTATAATCGAAACTCTGGCCGAAAACTTGGGTTTTCTTAAGCATCGCCTAGAGTGTAGGTAACTGTCTTTCGGGGCCAAGCGCTCTTCCCGGGTCAAGTGTTTTTGTTCTGGGACCCGCCGTGTGGGACGTCCTCAAGACATCCCACTGGAGGACGTGTTGGTTCGTGGGTGGGTTGTCTGATGCAGGAACAAGGAACCATCTCTTACAGGATCCAGAAAAACTGTCTTTCTTGCAGGGTGGAAACCTGGCCCCACCGCGTGGGATATCGTCCGAAAAGTGCCAGTGAGGGACTGGTTAGTTGGTTGGGCGCTGGCTGGTTGGCTCACCAGCTTCCGGGTCAAAAACATTATTTCCGAGGCGATGGGGTGGACGTTGAATGATATACTGTTTGGTTGGTTGGTTGGTTGGTTGGCTGGCTGGCTGGAAGGTTGGTTGGTTGGGCGGTTGGTTAGTTGGTTGGCAGGCTGGTTGGCTGGCTGGTTGGTCGGTCGGTTGGTTGCTTTGTTGGGTGGCCGGGTGGCCGGTTGCCCGCTTGCCCGGGTGGTTGGCCGCTTCTCCCCTCCACTCCCTCTCCCCTCCCTCCCCCTTCCTCCCTCCTCACAACTCCTCCTTCCCCCCCTCCTCTCTGTACTTTCCTCCCTTCTCCTCCCTCCCTGTCCTCCTCATCCCAACCGCCCACAATTTACTGTAATGCAATGTTCTGCACATGCAACGCAGATGCAACGCAGCGCAACGTAATGCAACGCCACAGGATGCAATGCAATGCAATGCAATGCCACACAACGCAATGCAATGCAACGCAACGCGTCACGTGGCAGCGCCGCGGCGTCCGAGACAAGCATTCTGTCACGACGAGGACGACGACGATGACGATGACAAGGGCCAGGGAGGCTAACAAAAATACTATCATGTCCTCCTCGTCCTCCTCCCCCCCTCCCCCCCTCCGCCCTCCTCCCCCCTCGCCAGCCGGCACGAGCTCTGGCCCTCGCCAGCCAGCGCTGCTGGCTCCTCCCGCGCGCCGCCTCCCCGCTCCTCCTCCGCGCCGCCCCCCCCTCGGCCGCGCGAGGGAGGCGCCTGCCGCCGCCCGCGTGGCCGAGCAGCTCGCGGCCGGCAGCCGTCACAGCTGGCCCGGGCCCTGGCCAGGGCATTGGCCGAGGCGCCGCCACCCTCGGCTGCACTGCGTCGCGCGCAGTGCGCCAGGGCCGACGGCCCGCGTGGCCGAGCACCTCGTGCACGCCTCTGCGGCCCTCGCTGGGCCTCGCGGCCGGCAGCCGGCACAGCTGGCCCGGGCCCTCGCCAGGGCAGTGTCCGAGGCGCCGCCACCCCACTGCAGGGTGTGAGCGCGAGATGGCCTCCCCTGCTCCTCCTCTTCCATTCCTTTTTCCGAAGAAATAACTTCTCCCTGTCGCACCCCGAAACCAGTTGTTAGGGCGGGCCGTGCGTTTAGCCTGAGACTTCCTCACCTCTTACGACTCTGCAGCTCAAACAATGGCAACAGCTTCGCACATGTAGGGCGGGTGGCTTTCAAAGTGTAGCTCTCACTTCAGCGCGGCGCACATTCGTTCTGAACAATTTCAAAAAGTTCACGGATTGAGGGCGGGTCGTTTTCAAAATGTGGCTCTCGCCTTAGCGCGGCGCACATTCGTTTTAAACATTTGCCAGAAATTCACGGATTGAGGGCGGGTCGTTTTCAAAATGTGGGTCTCGCCTTAGCGCGGCGCATATTCGTTTTTTAAATTTGCAAGAAGTTCACGGATTGAGGGCGGGTCGCTTTCAACATGCGGCTCTCGCCTTAGCGCGGCGCACATTCAATCAACAAATGCGAGAATTTCGCAGATTGAGGGCAACTCCTTTTCAAACCGTGGCTCTTGTTTTAGCGCGGTGCACTTTCGCTTTTGAAAAAATATCCCGGCAAAGCAACCTAACGGCGATGTGTAGAAGCATAGCTGGAAACATTGCCTGTGGTATTCATGTAAGAGCGCTGTTGTAGAATTCTGGTGTTCTCGCAGTCGCATTCGGATTCGCAGTGGCAGTCGCAGTGGCAACTTCAGCGGCAGTCGCAGTGGCACTGCCAGTAGTTGCAGTAGCAATAGCTACACTGGCAGCAGCAACGGCAGCAGCAGCATTAATAGTAACAGTAATAGTAGCAGTAGAAGTAGTAGTGATGGTAGTAGTGGTAACAGTGAAGTAGTAGTTGTAATGTGTGGAGTGATGATGATGATGATCTTGGAAGTCTGGGAAGTGGAAGAGCACGAAGTGGCGTACAGTTGGCTCCGGGCATTCAAAATGTGGCCCGGGAGTGGAGTTCTGGGAAGACGAAGAGCACGAAGTGGCCTACAGTTGGCTCCAGGCATCCAAAATGTGGCCCGGGAATGTAGTTCTGGGAAGTCGAAGAGCACGAAGTGGCCTACAGTTGGCTCCGGGCATTCAAAATGTGGCCCGGGAATGGAGTTCTGGGAGGTCGAAGAGCACGAAGTGTGCGACTGTTTGCTTAAAACGAGCCCGGCCCTCGCCTGTCCGGCTCCCGCCCAAACCCCCCTGGGGAGTCATCAGATGCTCTCTTTTGACCCCATTAGAAACCTATCAGTCTTCGTTGTTAGGTAATTGCGAAAGCTTCACGGCTTGAGGACGGTTCCTTTTCAAAATGTGGCTCTCGCCACGCCGCGCACACTCTTTTACACAACTTGCAAGAATTTCAAGGATTTCCATCATCAACGTACCAGAAATAATGCTTTGAAAAGATTCAGGGTTACGCGGGCGCATTAGTTACGCGGATTCGCTGTGTTGAAGTCACAGGGATGGCGTTTTGGCACGGTTCCGGATCGCCAACACGCAGCTGTCAAGTTAACCCGTGGCGTTGGAATCCCGAGAACACTTTTTTGGAATGCTTACGGGTCTTCAAACGGTTTTTCCAACAAGGCAATCCCCTCAATGGAAATGAACCGTTGCAGCGGCCTATGAAGAGAGAGCTCGGAGGGAGGGTTATTCCAATATCGTTGAAGACTATTGGGTTTACTCTGGTCCCCTTCCTCCGCCTCAGTTTCCCCCTCCTCTTCCTTTTCCGTTTCCTCCTCCTCCTCCTCATCCTCCTCTTCCTCCTCCTCCTCCTCCTTTTCCTCCTCCTCCGCCTCCTCCTCCTCCTCCTTTTCCTCCTCCTTCTCCTCCTCCTCCTCCTCCTCCTCCTCCTCCTCCTCCCTCCTCCCATCCCTGCCTCTGCTTCCCGCATGCCCACCATTTTGGCAAGCCTTTTTCACACGGATCGTGGACCAATCGGGATCTCCATCCACCGAAGGCCTCACATGCAAATTCCACTTGCGCTTACCTCGCCAACCGCATGCCCATTTCGGCAGAGTCCACACGGGCCCGCCCCGCCCGCCACATGTCAATTTCGGCACACACACACACACACCTCACACGGTTCGTGGCCCCATAGGGAAGTCCACCGAAGGCCCCACATGCAGAGTCCACATGCGCCCACCCCGCCCTCTGCATGTCCATGTCGGCACACACACAGTTCATGGTCCCACAGGGAGCTCCACCGAAGGTCCCAGACGCAAAGTCCACATGCGCCCACCCCGCCCTCCGCATGTCTATTTCGGCACACCCCGCCCACGGTTCGCGACCCCACCTGGAGCTCAACCGAAAGCCCCTGTGGCAGAGCCCGCATGCGCCCACCCCACCCACCGCATGTCCATGTCGGCGTACACCTCACACGGTTCGTGGCCCCACAAGGAGCTCCACCGAAGGCCCCAGAAGCAACGTGCC